AGCATTCTAAGTGGAACTTTGATAGGAACGGACTTCATAATATTTGAAATTTTTTCATATCAAAATGATTTGATATGAAAGAAAAAAGAGATTTCAATCGTTATCAAAATTGATATGTGATTTTCAGATTGAATGAATATCATATATTTGTTATTTTGAATATATGTGTATTTTCTGAAAAAGCATACATGGTATTTGAGATACCGATTTGAAAAATATATAAGTATGTTTGGTTTTCAAAAATATTTTCGAGACCTTGAAGAAGCTAGCTATTGGGGGTAGCATTTGAGCTCAATGATATGAGGCTTCGTTAATAAGAGAGGTGTAGTGCTAACCCGTATATCGCCCAACATATAAAAACCTTGTCACGGGGGATATGACCTTTCGATGTTTGCACTCGATTATACGTTATTACCTCACGGGTATATAAAAACCTATATATGTGTTTTTGTATGAGTATGATACATGTATGTACAAATATTTTGATGATTTGATACAAAATGCTTTTGAACCATTTGATTTGTGATATGAGATGCGTTTTGAATATGCATGTGTTTTAAGAAACTAACATAGCATGTTGAGATGAATTTGAAATTATTATCCTTAGTCCGTTTCCCTCCCTTAGTATATTATATAATGTCTACTCACTCGGGTTGTTGATTGCTCACCCCTCATTATATCGGCTTTGCAAGATATTGAGGGATTGCCTATTGCTTCTTTTTTGCTACCTTTCGTGAAGTCGGCACTTTGGTAATGCGACTATTTCTTTATAATTCTCGAATCTATGTATATTATTATTTATTGTATTTTTAGAATCTCCGTAGTTATAACTATGGGTAATGTATTAGAATTTGATTAAGAATATTGACCTTGACTATTGAAATAAAAATAGCATGGAATTATGAATTGTATTAAGGTTGAAGAAATATTTATTACTTCTATATGGTTTAAATTCTTTCTCTAGCCCATATGGTTTAAATTAGTCTATATGAAAGATAAAAAATATTTCTTTAAATAAGTCTAAAGTGCAAAACCATACCACATAATAAGGTACCAAAATTTAAATATTAGTGCACTAATTCATATCTAAAATATATATCGATAAAAAAATATTGATTGTTCAAACATATTGGAAATTGAACTACCAAAGTTCAAATAAAATCAAAAGTTGAAACATATTCTAAAAAAATATGTATATAATTTGGTTTTTAGGGAAAACTAAATTAAAAATTCTAAAAATTGAACTGAAACCAAATAACCGATATTAATTTAGTTTCAATTTTCTAATTGAATTTAATTAAAAATCAAACCAAACTGGTATTTTTTATTTCATTTCAGTTCATCATTTTTTTTTTAATGGAATGCTACTCACCCTTAGCTAATGGATACAAAATACGTATGATTACCTTTGAGAATTATTACACTCTAAAGATAAAGTTTTGGTGTACAAATTTACAATCAGCAGTAAAAATATTATCATGTCAAGCCATACAAGAGAGAGAGAAAAGAAAAAAATAAAGAAGAACTATTAGTCTAGTGCTGTGCACTAGAACTTGACATGGCATGTACTATAAAAGTAAGGTATTGCCAACTCTTTCACCCAACAAAGAACCATTTATGTGACATTTATCATCGATTAGAAAATGAAGATAATAATGTATTTGAACCATAAGAAAAGTAGAGATTTTCTCAAGATAAAAAAATAACAACGACGATACGACTCTACAATAATTAGAAACAAAGCCTTGAAAAAAAAAACATAAGCAGTGATGTAAGTTTCTTGTGATTTATAAATAAGGAACCTTTGGCATTGGTTAGGTAGAATATATTCATTCTAAGAATAAGATTTATTAAAAAAAAAAAACTTTCTAATTAATAGGAAAGTTTAAAAAACCCTTTAGTATTATGGATGACAATACGCTTAGTATAAAATGGATATCCACTTTACCCGATCTAATAAATACTCATTAAGAATATCCAATGAGTATTGAAGTGGGTAAGGATAAAAAAATGAATACCCATTAATATGGTTTTAGGGTATGGGTATCCATTCTTTACCCTATTAATACCTACTAATTTATTTAGATTTTATTATTAAAATGTAGGGTTCTAATTGTATAAAATTTAAAAATTAAGGATTAAAATTTTTTTAAAAAAACTTTGAGGATAAAAAAACTTATAAATAGATGGCCAAAATGCAAAAAATAAAAAATTAAATTTTAAGGTGCAAAAAAACTTTTTTTTTGAAAATTATAGGAACTAAAATGAATTTTTTTGACAAATTAAGTTTAGTGGGTATTAAATGAAAAGGTAAACTAATATGTACTCGATATAGATCGAGTAAATATTTATATGATGATTTCTTGATAGATAATAGATTAAATATTTTTTATAAGTAGGATAAAAAATTAAATTAACGGATCGGATACTCGTCCATTGCCATTCTTATCTAGCATGGAGGGAGTGCCTATCTTATGGATCATTAAAAGATCCTTAGTGTGTATGAAACATTGTAATATTATCTTCATAAATGAAAATTTATTTATGTAATTTCAATCTTGAAAGAACTACCCAATATCATACCAGACATATATACACTTTTTATAGGAAACAAAGGAGAGTGGAAGCAGGTACATTGAAGCACCATTAATTGTCGGAACATCACAAGAATTCTAAGGCATGAAAGGTCACTAACAAAGCATCGATATCAGAAGTGGTAGCCTGTGGTACATTGCTAAAAATGTCTATTAAAGTACAAATCTTTTATGATTGTGAAAGACAAGGTGTGCCTGTACGTATGAAGTTTTAGAAATTGTTTTGATGCATGCTAGTTTATTAAAAGAAACTAAAAGGCATGAGGTTTTTAAATAGTCATTTTCACTGTTTATCTCTTTCCAAATCGCTATTCATATATTATAGATGATGATGATAGTTTTTAAAATTTTCAATTTTTTTAGACATTTATATTCAAAATTTACCTCATATTTCATTTTAATCCCTAAATTTTTAAAATGAAATTTTGATTCCTGAGCTGTTTCATCCCTTGGTCTGCTGCACAAAAGCAGGCCCAAGGCAGACACCCAGGTCTGCCTCTCTCTTTTTCCTTTATTTTCTTTTACCAATTTATGTTTTTTTATTATTGAATTAGGTGTGAAATTTATAAAATATTAATCATTATTTTTTTCTCTTCTTCTTTTTTTGTTTTGTTTTTCTTTGGTATTTTCCACCAATTTATGTTTTTTTTAATTATTTAATTGGGTGTGAAAATTATGAAAAATCAATCATTATTTTTTACATAAACTAACGATTATGAAATATATATGATATATTTTTAGATTTTAAAATAAAAATATATATTGTATTATATTATTCTTATTGTTTGAATTTTTTTTTATGTTGTTATAAAAATTCCTATCAAATTAATTTTTTATTCTTTTTTTATGTAATTTTATTTGTTATTAAATATAATTTATTTTCTCTTATGTATAGATTTTTGAATAAGTTTTTTTTATAGTTGATTTTAGTTGCTTATTTTTTTATATAATTTAATTTTAAAAATAGAATTCACATGTTTTATTTATTTATTATTTATATAATCAAATTTTATCAAAATCAATTTTGTAATTTTTTTATTGTACTCTACTAACTTTAATATTTTTTTACAACTTAATTTTTTTAAAAAAATTGATATATATATATATATATATATATTAGAGTTATTGATTTTAATGGAAATTAATAATTTAAGTATAAATTTTTTATACTGATATTATTCATTATTTTATAAATAAATATATATAAATCAAATGTATATATTCTTTAAAAAAAATATTCATCTCATCAGTATTAAACAAGAATTAAAAAGATTTATTTTTTAATTTTTATATAGGTTTTATATTAATTATTGCTTTATTTATTCGGTATAATGTTATAAAGAATATTAAAATGTTTTTTTTTAATTTTATATTTAGATTATTATGAATTTTTATTTAAGAATAAATGCATAAAAAATAACAAATTGTGTTTTTCTAATTGCAAAATTTATTTAAAAAATAAAAAATGGAGACAAAATGTTGATTATAAAAGTAGATGACATTCTATCTTTAATTTAATATATTTTTATTAAACAATAACACAATACATGTTTTCAAATTGAAATAAATATATTTAATTTGCCTACAACGTAGTGCGGGAAGCTAACTAAATATATCTAGAAGGAAAGTAAAACCTTTGTACATCCCTATTATAAAAAGAAAATCGTATTAAAGAAGACCGTATAAAAAGAAAGAAAAAATTGAGACAAATTCCAAGGCAGAAGTTGAGTCTTTAGGAACAGCGGTAGAGCATTTCAAGAATAATATATATAAAAAAAGCTTTTGAATTATCTAAAGACAGAAGTTTAGTGCTAGAAAAATTACAGGATATTAGATATATTAAGAAAAAGAGAGAAAAGAAAAAAGAAAGATAAAAATTCAGAAATAGATACTAACCTTAAGCTATCTTAGATATTTATTTAGCAGGATTAAAGAGATGTTCGTAAAAAGCCTACCTTGCTTAATCAAATTAGATAAGGAAATATATTAGTCCAAATCCCCGACATTGTCCATTTAATATCGAAGCAGAAGGCTCAGATATTTTTCAAGACTTACATAAGAAAAATTGAAAGTTTAAGGAGAAAAGTGTAAAATAAGTAGCTCAAGTTTTAAGGGACTGCCGTGCTATGGCCCCCCTACGGCCCTACCATCCCCCATTATTTTCACCCCGTCAAGAGCTTAAATCCCACGGTGCTTGAGTCATGTTGATATCGATGCTTTTTGCAGTCAACCTTGATAATTTCTCTTCTTCTTGTTAGAGTCATCTCCCCTGACATGGATTGAGGGAAATAAAGGGAAGGGAATGCCGGTCTTGGGAAAAGATTGTTGTATTTGTGTATTCTCTGAGATTACGTTTTACATCATATAATCAAGCATTACTGATCACTAGTGCACCAAACCCACAAAATGGATCTCCTGACTGATCATTTTGAGGATCCATCTTTTGAATCCAAACTGCCCTCACCAATCATAATTCTAGTAACATTGCTTGCCCTTGTTGCAGGATTCTACTACAAACTTAAGGCCTCAAAACTTGAAGCCAAGAAACTCCCACCTGGTTCTTTGGGATTTCCATTTGTTGGCGAGTCTATAAGCCTTGTGAGGGCACAGAAACGAGACAAGATTGATCAATGGATGTGGAAACGCATTGACAAGTTTGGACCGATATTCAAGACCTCAATTTTTGGTACAAAGACTGTGGTTTTGACAGGCCAAGCTGGCAACAAGTTTTTGTTCAGTGGAGGTGATGGCATTTCTTGCGAACAGCCAAAGACGATTGCCAGCATACTGGGAAAGTACAGCCTCTTTGAGATTTCTGGGTCTCGGCATAAGCTTCTTAGGGGTGCGATAGTTGGGTTTTTAAGCCTGAAAGAATCCCGAGAATTGTAGGTGAAATGGATTCACTGGTCCAGCAACAACTATCCAAGGTACCAATCAAACTCCCATAAATCTTGCATAATAATTTGTCCTTATTTCTACATTAGTTGTAGAGCAGTAGTTGTAAATATGTTTCTGTTCTAATACAATGATTTTAGATATAACACCTGTTATTCCTGACCGAGAAAAGAAAAATTAATATTACAGGAATTGGATGGCAAGGATTCCGTAAAGATAGCGCCACTCATGAAGAGGATTGCATTCAATATCACTAGCAGTATCCTTTTTGGAATACCAGATGGCAAGGAGAAAGATATACTCTTTGAAGAATTTACGGTTGCTGTTAAAGGGTGTTGGGCAGTTCCCTTGGATATTCCAGGGACCGTATTTCATAGAGCAATGCAAGCTCGAGCTAGCCTCTGCAAAAGGCTCTCAAAAATCATACATGAAAGGAAAAGAGAAATGGAAGAAGGGATAGCTGATGAAAACGAAAACATCATCTATAGCTTTCTTAGTCTGAGGTATGAAAACGGGGAATATATGCTAGAAGAGGAGATGGTTGATATGGTCCTATCTTTGATAATGGCTAGTCATGATTCAACCACGATTCTCTTGACCCTACTCACAAGACTCCTTTCTCGAGATGCCCACATCCATAACAAGGTTCTTGAAGGTAATGAAAATTCTTCCTAGTTTTTGCATAAAGAAAAAACTTTCCATTTCCTATGGAAGCCTTGTTGCCTTTCATTATAGTAGTTAATTAGATAAAACGGGTTCCTATGTGGTTTGGAATTTTGATAGAGCAAAAGGAAGTTATCAAGGTTAAAGGAGGCAGTAAGGGGAAGCTCACATGGAATGAAATTCAAATGATGAAGTATAGTTGGAGAGTAGCTCAAGAAGTCATGAGATTTTATCCTCCAATTTTCGGCAACTTTCGACAGATAACCAAAGACATCAACTTCGATGGCTTCGATATTCCGAAAGGATGGCAGGTGCGAATCTTACCTAGTTTTGTACCCAGTGAATCAGTCATTAACTTGTGTTTTCTTAAAATTTCAGAGTCATTAGTTTAGCTTTTGATTGATAGAGTACTAAAGGCTTCTCTGTTTCAAACGACAAAATACATAGTATAAATTATAAATAAAACTAAAGAAAAAATTGATTTTACTATTTAAAATACTATTCATTCATATTCATTTTACTATTCGCATACACTTAAAAATACTATCATTTTTAATGATATTTTTATAGTTTTCAAACATTTTAAATATTTTTATAATAAAATTTTTTTTAATATTGCATTTTGATTCTTCTTTTTTAAATATAATTTTTTCAATACCTAAAATATTTTTTATTTGGTTTTGATCTCTCTTTTTTGTTTCATTTTTATCACTTTACTTCTTTTTTCTCTGATTTTTTTAACAAAAAATTTTAAGGCAAAAAAGTATTTTAAAAAATTACAAAATAAAATTTTAGCTAAGAATCCATTGGTTTTAACATTATTTATGCTATTAAATAATTTTTTAATAAAAAAATTTATGAAAAATATAAAGAATAATCAATCAAATACAAAATTTGATATATTTTAATAGACACACAATATAACATGAGATATCGAAATAAAATAATTTTATGTATTTTATTCGATTTTAACGTGTGCAAAAAATATAGTGTAGAACTATAGACGATTTGTTTGACCCAAATTCTAACCTGCAAGTCATTTTAATCACAGCTTTTATGGGTGGCTTCTGGTACGCACATGGACAAGTGCATTTTTGAAGATCCAGACAAGTTTGATCCATCAAGATTCGAGAGTTCATCGAAAACATTTCCTCCATACACTTATATTCCTTTTGGAGCTGGCCAGCGGATCTGCCCTGGGGCAGAATTTGTTCGAATTGAATCAATGCTCGTAATCCACCATTTTATAACAAAATATCAATGGACAGAGATAATAGCTGACGAGCCTATATTTCGTGATCCCATGCCTTATCCAGCAATGGGCCTTCCCGTCAAGTTTTATCCAAGAAATGATGAAGTAGAGATGTGATTTTTATATATTTTTACTAGGGTGAGTTTGTGTCCTATATAGCGTAGCGTGCAACATTATTTGATCTATTTGCACGGAAGTAACTGGAACACTTCAATAAATTAATTAATCTATATTGTGTACCTGTTTGCGCGATAATTAATTAATCTTGCAGAAAATGATTGCATTGCCATTCTCTTAACCACCTCTCTCTTTAATCCCCCAAGAGAAAAACATAAGCACCTCTAGCGGCCCCCACTAAACCACTGAAAAACCACCACTGCCACCCATCGGATCATCTCCTCCACTAACCAACCCAAAGCCACACCTACCATCATCCATGTCAACTACCGCCCCGGTTGCAGCCACCTCGCCGTTACCACCTCGATTCCCAAAAAAATCACCACCACTGGCCATATTGCCGCCACTCATGGCTAACCATCCATCACCACCACAACAGCAAACAATCAACAACGCGCGAAATCTACAAATCATGGTGGAAATTTTAATTTCTCACTTGTGATGTTGATTTTGCAAATCTTTATTTTATTATTTATTATTTTATTATTATTTTTTACCATGATTCTTGTCATAACCAAAATTTGGTCTCTTAAAAAAATCAGTTTTTTTTTTAAAAATAAACATTTTTATCAATTTATTCTATTTTTTTTCAAAATTTAATGTTTTTTTTATACATATTTTCATGATTTTAATTGTTCTCATAAATTTTGAGTGAGAAAAACCAAACATGAAAAATAAGCGGAAAGAAAAGTCCAAGAAAAAAAATCAAGAAAAAAGAGAAAAAATAAATAAAGTTTTCAAACTATCCTAACCATGTTTAATTTGACAAAATCTTATTTTAGAATTAATCTAATCCAACTTTAGTGTAAAGATATTTCTAATTAGGAGTGATTACTATTCGGTTTTAACCGAAAAAGCGAACCGAACCTAAATATCATTTTTTATTTTATTTTTAATTAAAAATTTCAAAAAATAAAACCTAACCGAAATTATTTTATTTTATTTATTTATTTGTGTTTTAATTAATTGTATAATCAAAACTTTAAGTGATGTAATTTAAGAAAATACTCCTAATTAAAGTTCATTTTATAAAAAAAAATATCCAAATATAATTCTAAAAAAAATGTATTTTTAAAAAGTGTGAATAAAAAAAATATTAATATAGCATAATAATTAATAACTTTTTTAATCTTTCCGAAATGTCAAAAATAACAAATTTTTTTTTTTTTTTTTTTTGACAGAAAGAGTATAAAAAATGATGATATGAAGTGTAATAGTTGAAAAAACGGGATGTAAAGTGTTCTTGTGCTTAAACTATAAATTAATTAATAGAATTTACCCGAAACTATATATAGTATGTATTCATCATGCGGTGTCAATTTTGGGCTTGAAACCTATGAAAATTGTTTAATTTTCACAAATTTTAAATATAATGTGTTGATAATCTCATTATTAAAGTAGATTAATGATCAAATTTTTTTTAAAAAAATGAGGAAATAGGAATTTGAGGATTGAGGGAGGCTGAACTCTAAAAGCACGAATCATTTCCCTTTTGAGAATGATTGTTAGAAATATAATAGTTTGTGTGTGGAATAAATGAAAATTTTTAGAAGCTAGTTTTTTTTTTTTTTTTTTTGTGGTTATTTTTATGGATTCCTTGGAATTCAAACAGAAGTACTACTTTACCCTCAAAACTCACAATATTTAAATTTATTTATTTTGATATTTTTTAAATAAATTAATAAGTATGCACACAATAATTATATATTTTGCATATTATATTAATCAACTTTGTTACAACATTAAAGGCATTAAATATAAAACATTTTTCCGAAATAATTTAAAGTGTTGGAATCTTTTAGTAACTAAAAAAATACTTTTAGCATGAAGAATAATATATAAAATTAAAATGTAAGAGAAATTTTTTATTATAAAGAAATTTTTTTAATTAATTCTATATTGAAGATATTTCAATAAAATTAGTTAAAAAAAATGAAGAGTAAAAATATCAATTTAATCTAATAGCATTACAAGTTAGGGAATGTGATTCCCTTCTTTGAGCTAAGGAATCATATCCATTTAGGAGATAACTATTTTTTTGCCCGTACTATGTCTGCGGGTTAGATAAAATATATAAAATCGTTTAGAAAAATCATTTCAGTTAAATAGTTTGTTTTATTATTTTTTAATAAAAAATTATATTTAACTATTTCTTATTTGTGTTTTGCATAATTTTTCCTTTAGAAAAAGGATTTATCCTTATTAATCTATGGATTATTAACTAAAAAGAAAATTAAATATTTTTTTTAAAAAAAAGCTTTAGTATTTTATAAGATTGTGTTGAAAAAAATCAATAACAATTATTAAAAACTTACATAGAATTGAACAAATAATTTTTTTATTTAATGTTGATGAGAATATCGGTTTTTAAAAAAAATATGAATTTAATTTTTATATATTTATTTAGAAAAGCATGAATAATATTAAAATAAAAAAATATATTAATTTGACTTTCAACTATTCATTAATTAATTTGAGTTTTTTCTAAAAATATTCGAGAAAAAATTATTTGAAATACATACACTTTTAATCTAAAAATTCATTTCAGACAAATTATATATATTAATCATGCCACTATAATTTAAAATTTATCTAAATCTATTTTTTTTTAAAAAAAAAGTCATGTTCTAAAACTTTATTCCAAAATCCATACATATAGAAAAATAAATCAAAATTGTCAGTAAATATAATTTTAAATTAATTTGATAAGACTTTTTTAAAAATGACCAATTAAAGTAGTAAATTTTAAATAATAAAAATAATTAACAAAACATATTAAAACAAAATGGGACCAAATCACAATATAATCAAATTTTGAAATTGAAAAAAAAGGAGAGAATTTAAAAAACAAAATCACAAAATAATGTAGTAAATTTTAAATAAGATAAAAAAAACCGAGAAAAAATTAGTTGAAAATACACTTTTAATCTAAAAATGTATTTCAGAAAAATTATATATATATCATGACATTATAATTTAAAAATTAGCTAAATCTAATTTTCAAAAGAAAAAATAATCATGTTCTCAAAATTTATTCCAAAATCCATACATATAAAAAAATAAATCAAAATTATCAGTAAATATAATTTTAAATTAATTGGATGAGAATTTATATAAAAAAAAAAACCAAATTAAAGTAGTAAATTTTAAATAATAAAAATAATTAACAAAAACCATTAAAACAAAATAGGACCAAATCACAATATAATTAAAGTTTGAAATTGAAAAAAGAAAGAGAATTTAAAAAAAAAAGACAAATTAAAGTACTAAATTTTAAATAATAAAAATAATTATCAAAAAACACTAAAACAAAATTGGACCAAATCACATTACAATTAAAGTTTGAAATTGAAAAAAACAAGTATAGAAAAATTGAGGATCATACTATTACAAAAATATCATAAATAGTGAAAGGAATAGTAATTTGTGAATATGTGAATAGTATTTTAAATAGTGAATAAATAATAAAATGATGTTTTGCTTTGATTTTATTGATAATATGAGATGCACGATGCTACTAATTATTATTATTATTATTCTGAGAAGTCGAATGCAGCACTTGGAATTTAACATGTGACAATGCAACAACTATCTTCGAATCGAATAAATATAACTTCTACACACATATATAGCTAAAGTAAGCATCAAATCAAATGAGATCAAGTAAGAAATTATGATTCTAAGAAAATTTTAGAAAACCAAGAGGTTAAATCAATAAGATTTTAAGATAAAAAAATTTAATAGAATATAAATATTTGTTTACAGGGAAAACCTAAGAAAACTAGTAGTCATACTAAAAAAACAAACAATGAAGAGGCAGAGAAAGACAATAAATTGCAAGAAAAATAAAGCAAAAATTGTGAAGAAGGATAAGTTTGCAAGAGAAAAATATTTGTATTGATGAATTGGTTAAAAATTACAATAAGAGTGTTTCTTTATTTATACAAATACTAAACTTAATGATCAAATAAACTTAAAAGGTAAACCGGAATAATTATAAATAAAATTCGTATTACAATAATTTTTCCTAAACCATAAAGTTAAAGCAAACAACCCTTTAAGAAAAGAAAACCCACTGTATTTGTGTTCGTAACTAATTCTTCAGTGGTAATGATATTTGCTTTGTCCTTTTAATCTTTAGTGCTCATTGTTGCTTAAATCTAAAAACTCGTCAATTTTGCCTAATTACTGAAGTTCAGTTTAAAAATATTTATCTTAAATGTCAAAACATGAAAATGTTAGAAGCTGTTGAGAAACAGAGTAATATTTTAATTTTCTAAAAAGCGAGAGAAAAAAAGAAAAGAAAACTGAAACATCTTGTTAAATGCAACATTTCTCCATATGGAGAATTCGAAAAGTAGTTTTTATATTGTATTTCAAAAAAAAAACATTTTTTTTATAATTTTCACAATTTTCCTTTACAATTTTGTCAAATAAAAAAAAATACTAAAATGATGAATAATATAATACTTTTTATATACATTAAAATTATTTTCTTTTATTTCATATTTGGTTAGTGTCATAAATTTATATTTTTATTATAAATCTAATATAAAATATTTATCTCTCTCTCTCTCTTTGTGAGTGATATTTGAGTTAATAAGTATCATATGACTTTTTCATGTTAATTTTTAATTGGAATGAAAATAAAAGTAATGTTATATATTTCTATGATCACAAATAAAAAAATTAATATGCCTATAAAAAATTATGGTTTTCATTTTTTATGGACTATAGCTATAATGTTGGCACATTTCTTATTGTTTTGCATGGAAAAATTCCTTTTCATTTTTGACAAATGAATATATTGTTCAATTTTCCGTTGGAAAAAAAAAAAAACTTGAAATGGAGATGAAAAGTGATTTTATGTTATTTAAAATTAAATTCTCATAAATTCAAGATTATTTGGCATACCAAACATAATAATGTTTGATATTTTGAATGTCTTTTTCTTAATATCTGGACAGAAAATACCTTATTATATAGTCGAAGATCTTTTTTTTTTTCTTATGGCTTATATATATAGTCCGACACATATCGTAACTTTTATTGAATAAAAAACAATTTCATAAAATAGAAACAAAAAGGTCAAATACGTGATTCTATTTAGGCAATGATGAACATCTCAATTGAATGGGTTTTGTTAACTATAAATTTTCAAACTAATAACGGCAGTCCTAAGTCACATTTTTAAAGCATATTTAGAAATACTATTCTATGAATTTGACTAAAAAAACAATTAAGAACTCAGAACTGACTTAGAAATTTCCAAAGCTTTTTTCCTTATTGCTTTGACTTCTCCACGTAATGTTCTAGAAAAAGGGATACTATTCTGATATTCAAGAAAAAAGAAGAAAGCATGCACGCAAAGCTTAATTCCAAGCCTATCTGGAGTACCCCAAAGACAAGGCCAC